CAGAAGCCATGCATATTACAGAAGTATATTTTAAGGCATTAACAGCTTTATTTTGTGCAACTTTCTACAGCATTTTAGCAAATGTTCAATGTCATACAGTCTTGCTCTTTTTAAAACAACTTTTTGATTATTAGTTTATTAGTGGTGAAAAGTGAGGTTTTATACTCTGTATAGAACTAAGTTACAATTATATATTAAAGTCGATTCCCATTTTCACTTTGGCTATCAGTGTTTTATGAGCCCTTTATTTTAATTTCTGCAGAGCCACATGACATGGAGCAAACTTCCTTTAAGAAATTTCATTTTTACTGAAGCTTCAAAAGTAATTGTGAGATCATGTTCTAAGATAATAAGCAATCCCCAGATAATTGAGTTAGATTGTTATAAACTTATGCCTTCATGGTAATGCCTTGTTTTTATTAATTTTAAAAATGTTTTTGGTAATTAAAGTCATATTTAGATGCCAATGTGAATGTCAAAATATTGTGCTTCTTTAAATAAAATTAGTAGTACGATGAGGTTTTATTACCCTGGATTTTGATTTGTCTTAATTATTAAACAAATATATCCTATCCCTTGCTTATATGTGACCTACTATTTATATTCTGTATTTTAAGAATAAAGCTAGAACTTTTGTAATTAGATTAATAACTACTTCTAATACTAATTTAACAAAAATCAAAAGAAATTGTTCCTGTTTGGTTGAAATGAGATTTTTTCATTAATTGTTTTCACAAAAGAGATAGGGGTTAAGAAATGTGTATTAAAGAAATCTATTATAGAATAAATTAACAATTGTTTCTAGTTACATTAAATTCTTATTGAAAATTTTATAAACCATTAGTAAGGAATTGTAGGATTACAGTTGTCCATTTTGTTCTAAAATACAAAGGTAGGACTAGATAAGACTATCATAATACAACAGTAATTTTGTTACTCTATTGAATCAAATTGAAAAAGCTAAATAATATATACAACCAAATACTTTCTAAGCAAATACTGTATTTGTACTATATTTTTAGAAATATTTTAAATAGTTTTAGTTACTATTTTATTTTATAAAGCACATACAGATCTTAAATCTGAAATGTCTCTATGCTTTTAGCAGTGGAAAACAGTTGAAATAGTTCTGTTCAGTTATTTGTAAAGTTATCTGTTCTCATTTTCATAATCTGGGGTTCACCCCCTTATGAGAAATAAATTGTTCTTAAGCAAAGCAGTTAAAACAGAACCCCATTTCTGGAAAAAAAAATCACAAAAATTAATCTTAAATTATATAGACTGATATTTACTAGAATCAGAATATATGTCAAATTATATTTTGGGTATCTGTTGAAATATATCTTTAGAACAGATGAAATATGAAGCACAAAAAAACCACTGAATTTCATCCATCTAAGGTGATTAGTTATATTTGCTGAATTGGCTGTAGAGTCTTTCTTAATTTTTATTGTATCATTATTAATTTAATACGGTAGATTTTAAAAATGAACTGCGTGCCTTTCTAGCTCAGTAATTGTTCTCTGCCAGCACAGTGATATTTTTTAATTTATTGCCTCCTTCACCATCAAATGGGAGAAAATTGGTGCTTGTACAGGTAGTCTGAGAGGTTAGATGTTAACCTTAATATATCTAATCTTAACGGGATCTCTTTTTTAAATGGCCTTCCATAGAGAAAAGGCAGTACGGCTTGGCTTGCAGGTAACCGATTATTGTAACTGGGGAATATATCCTGCTACCTAAAAAAATAATGAAGCGCTGAATAGCCAGTATATATCAGCAGGTGAATTTTCGGTGATAAGGGTGGCCACCCAAACCTGCCCAGCCCGTCCTGAGCCGACATTGCCTGGAAGTAGTGAGAAGCCGCTCCTGGCTTTCCTTGCGAGGAGTGCGTGGTAATATCGGAGGAGGGGGCGGCCGCTCCTTGGGGCAGCTTGGAGTTGGCCCCCGGGGTAGATGCAGAGGCTCGCTCGCTGCAGAGTCTCAAGGCAGGTCTCCACTCACTGAGCCTCACCATAAGGGTATCTGCGGCCGGCGTGGTCCACCCGGGCAAGGACCAAAAGCCTTCCGCTCGGGCGGGGCCCCGGTCACGCCGCCGGGAGCCGAGAGAAGACGAGCGAGCGCTCTTCTGCTGCCGCTGCCCTCGGCCTCCGCTTGGTTCCGGGGAGCCAGGGTGTCGCGCAAGCCCCCGGAATCGTTCTTCCACGACAGCTGAACCCCGGACCAAACGGCAGGGAGGGAAGACATTGTGCAGCGTCGGAGCGGCGCCCCGCCGCAGCGGCTGCCTGAGTCGGGACCTCCGAGGAAGAGAGCGCTGACCGGCGGTGCAAGGGAGCGAGTGCGCGGCTCTGGCTTCAGACCTAGCAGTTCCGGTTTCCAGCCTTGCCAGGGTCGAACGCCCCTTGGTGACTACTGCTTAAACCTGCACGAAAAAGTCTATTTCGTCGTACAGGACTCGTTTGCTTTGTTTTTCAGTGGGTCGTGCAGCTTCCAAACAATTGAGAGTTGTCCTTGATGGAAATGGGCGTTCTCCAGCGCCGCGGATTTAGAATCTGCAATGGGTAGATATGGAACCAAAGGCTGGCCCCAAAGGTTGCCTCTCAGGCTTGCTCCTAGCAGAGAAAGAAGCAGTAAGAAGGAAAGCAAGGCCTGGAAAGAAGGTGAATGCTGTGGTGGTTCTAGTTAATGGTGCGGCTTCTCTGTCAATGAATCGGTCCACTGGCTGGTCAGAGGGAAATAACCCGTCCTTCACTATTAGGTGGAGTATATGCTCAACAATATATCCTACTGCAAAGTGGAAAATAGTAGAGCATCACATCTTTCTGCTTCAGGTTAACAGAAACTGCAATTTCCATGGTAGAGATGCTTTGATGCATATAATACATCCTATTTTAGGACAGATATTCTGGTTTCAGATCTTTAATGCTCCTTTATTCCTACCTTGTTTTATAAGGCAGCTGTGTTCACTTTCACCCTGAACTTCAGCATAAGTGAAGAAGTAAGGTAAGATTCCCTATTAAGAAAAGCTAAATAGTTAAGGGGGATTTAGCTCGAAGAGAAGAAAATTAGAGATTTAACGTAATGAGCAGCAAGGAAACACTGACTCAGTAGAAGCCCTCCCATGTTCATGATATTAGAAAGATCCCTAATCTCAGGGTTGGAGAAGAATCATGGAAGAGATCTATCAACCTCGACTCTACTGTAACTGAAGAATGACCTCGTTTTCTTGCTCTGGGATAGTAAATGTCTGAGAAAGGGCTAAGCACTCGACCCCTATTTAACACCCGTTATTATTCAAGTTTGTCAAGGAGAACCTTGCGGGAGCAATTTGATAGACCGCTTTGAGAAACAGCAGCAGGCGAGAATGGATCTTTGCCTTAATCTGGAAAGGCTATTCCACTCTGGAAACTGTTCGGACCCTCTGCTGGAAGCATGATTTGTACACAAAATGACCTTCCTCAAAAAGAGGAGCCTGCGCTCTCTCCAAAGTTACGCATTCTTCGGAATCGGTCGAGAGACAGAGAGCTCAGGATAGGCGCAGTTTCCCCCATTTTGGAAGGTAAGGCGTTTGGAAGGTTTTAGAGTTTGACGCAGGCGTACCAGGGCACTTAGAGGGGAGCGGGACGGTTTCTGAATTCCGTCCATAACAATGAAATCCTGAAGGCAGAGGCTGCTCTATTATGAAACCCTGGAAAGGACCCTAGGAGCGGACGAACAAAAACCCTTCAAACCATGCAGTTTTCAGTTTGGGTGCTTTAGACGGGCGTGAAATGATGCGAACTTCAAAAGGAACGTGCTAGCGTATCGTAGGAATGTCCCCGACACGTTCGAGACGACGGCAGCGGTTTGCGCTTTCGAAGGATTAAGTTGGCCTCAAGCAAGACGTGGTGGGATCGCAGGTTGCCTCTTGCGGGGTGCGGACATTTATCCTCCAGGGAAGCGCGCGGGCTCCTCCCGGCTCAGCTCTTCGCTTGAACACTTTCGCCTCCCGAAGACAGGCGGAGGGCGCGGGTGCAATTCCTCCTCGGGGACGGCGGGCGACGGAAGGGTCGGCTTAATGGGCCAAGAGACGGGATGAGGCGGACGGAGGAAGCTTCTCCGTCCTGTCTGTGTCCGCAGACAGACCCTGAGGCGCACGCCGACTTCTGAAAGGGGGGAGAGGGAAGAGAGTTAGTTTGGCGAGGCGGCCGTGTATTCGCGTTTGATCGCAGACCGCCCCCCTATCAGGCCCAGCTGCCCCCGAGGGAGAGGCGGCGGCCTCAGTCGGGGTGCGCGTGAGGAG